AAATCAAGAGAATACAAATAGGATTACAAATCTCACCAAATAAACCCTAAAACAAAGTCTCTAGATCTCTTACAACTCTCTCACAATTGAACACAGCAATCCCCTCTCAAAGAATGCTCAAAATATCTTTGTTTAACCCTAATTAATTAGGATTACGATTATATATCAACTCAGAACAAAACGGGTTAGAAAACCAAACTCAACTGTAGACCCGACTCGCGGTCGACCGCATAACCACACGTGGGCAACCGGATCCAATGACCGAGACTAAAAAACCCTATAGGGTTTGTCCGGTCAACCACAGAACCCATCGCGGTCGACCGCGAAAAGTCCAGAGACTTTTCTCAGTTGTGTGCATGTTTGCGGTAAACTGTCGCATCATCCGCGGTCGACCGTGAAACTGCCAGAATGTCTCCTACTGTTTTTCATGCGGTCTTCGTTGCTGTACTCACCATTTCTTCATAATCTATATTAATTTATCATTAAAGTCTGCTAATAATGCTCACAGTGTACTACATGTTTCATACAGAGAGAGCTGAGGCATCACATGGAAATCCTTGCTGTAATTTTACCCCTAAAACTTATTTATATTATATGTTCTAAACCTAATTAAATTGAACTAAATTAAATTAAGGATAAGAACCCATTATTTTGTAGCCTTCGCCAGTTCATCTCCATATCTTCTCTTTCATTATAATAACAAAATATATGCGCCAAAAATCTAGAATCTCATTCTCTTCTCTTTCAACCCTCGATCTCCTCACATCTTCGTCTAAAAAAAATTCAAATATGACTCCCCTCTCCATCTCCATTGAAAATTAACTCTGAAGAGCTCTTACTCTCAAATCCCAACAACACCTCAATGATTTCTTCAATAGTTCATTGATCTATATTCAGCTTAATCCTTCACCTAATTCCTCCTCTGCATTGCTCACATCCATTTTCTTCTTCGGTGTAGATTTAATAGTAAATTTCAAATTTTATTAATGTTTTGGGAGATGGAAGACAAGTGAGATTTTATGGTCTCTCGGTTTCTTAATTCAAAACTATATATAGATGCAACAATACACCAAGATGTTTTAGAGCACATCGAACTTTCTTGAAAATTTTTGTTGAGATAGTATAATTTGCAAACAACCAGACTAGATATAATTTATTAATTAATATGTACACGTCATATATAGTTATTTAATTTTTCACACTATAGTAAATATTATTATGAATTTATATGTATATGGACAATGAATTTACATGTCCTATCATACTAGGAATCCTTATGCATAATTGATTTTTTGGGGAAATTCTTAATCTTTTTTAGAAGTTCTTAATCTTTTTTGGGAATTTTTTCAAATTTGAATTTACTATTTATAATTTTGGTTGTTACAGGATTGAGGCTTGGACTGTGAAAGAGGATGTAGTTTATGAGGATTCAGTCCATCCCATTGTTGTGGACTTGTTGAGTCATCCGGTTGGTGTCGAGATGGTGATTCGTATAGGAATAACTCAAGTTTAGACTCTATAGTTGGTAAGTTGCTTATATTTTTCTTGTCTTTATTTTGTATGTTGGCATGGGTAAATCCATAAAAATACTTATAATGCTTTCATCTTTTTTGTTAGGGATGAAAGCTACTTTGTATCCAACAAGGTGGGAATGGTAGTACGCCTATCGGCGGAGGTCTTTTGGGCCACATCTTTTTTTCCTAAAAGAAGTATATTTGAATATGTATCGTATGAGTTAATTTAATGGACTATATTTAGCGCAAGAATGTGTTATTGTTTTACTATTTTATGACATAATAATCTTTGTTGATTATATGCAAGTTTTTTATAGTGCCGTGTAGTTTACTTGAGAATATAGTACCACAATTTAGTATTAAATCAACGATAAAGTTCGGTTTAAGTGCATGAAAAAGTGGTCTTAATATTCTCAATTTATTTGTTTGCTGCCAAGTGACAAATTAATAAAAGAAATCTTACAATAAGCTCATTTTGGCACTAGAAACTATATGGACATTTGACGCGAAAGTTTTACCTTCAACTTCTAAGTCTAAAATCCATCAACATGGTTCTAGAGATCAAATATTCCTGGAATAAGCAATACCTATTTTCAGTTATTGCCAACAGCAAATGTGTAGTATATCCAATATTATCTTGGAATACAACATGATAGAGCACACCATTATGATATTATCAGAGTCATTTCTTTCTGAACATGTTACTTGCATTATTGTGCTAACATACATTCTTAACCGCAGGTATTGCGAAATGCAAGGGTAGGAAAAACTCAAGATGCCAAGAAAGTCCCAAGTGAGAGATTGCCCTCAGTTATCATTAAGTTATAAGAAAAAAAGGTTATAAGATAAGAAATAAAACAAAGAAGTAAAAAAATATTCATTTACTACTTGCTCCCTATCTATTCTTTATATACAGAACTTTGTCATGAACTTTAAATTAGTTCACAGTTTGTTATAATTATTGATGAACATGTTCATTGGTATAGTAGGTATTTTAATGGAAGGATAAGTTTATTATTTAATTGAAAGTTTTAATGTATAAGATCAAGTCGAAGTTCCTTGCCTATAGGAAAAATGTGATTCCATAGTTTTAGTTGGGATATTAAAAACAAACTTGAGCTCGTTCATCCCACTTTTTCTAATTGGGATACAAAAACAAACTTGAGAACACTCATCCCGCTTGATTAAAACATTTTAACTGATATATAAATCAGACTAGGATTTCTACTTAATTAAAAAGAAATGAAAGATATTGAACCTAAATATTTATTTTTTAGAAAGCAATATATTCTAATAATGTCCACTTAATTTGGGTGCAGCTAGCAGTTGTGTGAACAAGCTTAAGACATTTTCAAAGTCAATGGCACTCAAAATAAAGTATGCAACTTTGATTAGCAATTCAATCAAGAGGATCCGCTCACGAATCAGAATAAAGATCCTTCCAAAATGGGACTTTGAAAATCTATAAATTTAAAATTTTAAAAAAAATACCCTTAAAGTTTGTTGACTTAAAAAAGAGTTCAAAGACAAAGGTAGCAAGTGATTCTCTTGTGGATCTTCAGCATAAAATGGGGCGATTTAATGCAGAGAATGCTAAAGATAGCAAGTGATATTTAAAAGGAAGGACAAAGTTTAATGAGTGTTTTGGAATTTATATGAGATTTGAAAATTTTCATGCATGAATATATGTACTCACACATTAGGTGTTGTAAAAGCTTAGTCAAGCTTCTAATGCCATGAGCTTGGATTTTCATCCACATCATCAAACAATACTTTTAGGTATATTTTTGTGACAATATTTGATTGATCGATCACGTTATAAATGCAATCAGTGTGCTATCACCTAATCAATCACTAAATGTAATTTTATTGTTCAAATGTTGAATTTTTAGCTTATGTCTATATGTTTGATCCATTGCTTACATTTAATAATTTAATAAAAAATTTCTTATAAATTTATAATAAAATTTTTACCATGTGCATTGCACGTGCAATCCAACTAGTGAATTATATTTTTGGCTGTATATTACTTAGGCTAAATTATGATTGATGTTAAAAGAAATGCTTTATGACTAACAATGTATTAAAATTATCTCTAGCGACAACAAAGTATTTAAACTTGCACAATGAGACAAATAGGCCGAAAAATAAATTTTCCGGTAATTTTTCCAGCAACCATCCAGGTGATCTATCACGTGTGCTTAGGTGGCATATTTATGATGATGTGGCAACTGTAGTTAGCCTCATTCAACCCATTAAATGAGTGATTTTCAAATTAGGGTAAAAAAAGATGGATTTTCTTAAATTTGGGATTCCTTCTTCTTCTTCCTTCAAATTGGTGGTTCTTCATTGCTTGAGCTCAAGGATTTCATGTTCTCAAGCAATGAAGAACCCCAATTTGATAAAGGAAGGGGAAGAAGCTTCCAAATTTAAAAAACTCGTCTTTGCTTTTACACTGATTTAAAAATATCTCTCTCTAATGGTTTGAAATAGTCTAACTACAGACATGTTATCATAAATATATCACATAAGCATCATGTGACAGATTACATGAGTGGTCGCCGGAAAAGTTGGTCGAAAAAATTATTTTTAGGCCTATTTGTCTCATCGTGTCGTGTAAATTTAAATGCTTTGTCGTCGGCTAGAGATAATATTAATCTAATCCGGTCATTAGATACTACTTTTAGTACCAATCTAGTAATTTAGCAACATTATTTAACTAACTAAAAGTTTTTCAATAATTTATAATCTAAGGGTATGTTTTGTAATTCCAAAATTAGATTGTGTTTGAACTAGTTTTATCAACTACGCTAGAGTTGGTTCATATAGGAGGTGGTTCAAAAGAAAACTAGTTTATATGCTAAATTTTGAACTATAAAAAACTAGTTCAAATTTGGACCAACTAGTTCAAATTTGGACCATCATTGCCACAAAAACCTAGCTTTTGAACAAAATTGTACCAACTAAAATTAGTTTTATGGAGTTGCCAAAGATGCCCTAAATTTTATGGAGTTGCCAAAATCATATGCGATTTGATATGACTGAGATTTTTTTTCATATTCATCAAATCAACTTCAGTTGATTCAATGACCAATTCATTTTTTTCAAAACCACAACTGTAAATAATAATAATACTAAAACCACAGTTGATGTGAACCAAACAACATAAATTGCAGCATCACTTGTTATAAATCATAGTTTGCAACTGAAGTTTAACAATTTTGGCAAAAAAAAAAAAAGATTAGAACAAGATATTCATCAACATATTAACAGTACATAAGTGTTTATATGGTCAGCAACCATATCACAAGATTAAGAAACATAGCCAACTAAATCCCCTGATTTTGGCCTCATTTTCTGCCCAGTGCCTGAAGGCTGTACAAATAACTAATTTCTTGACAACTGCATATAAATAAATCTATCCAACAAAAGCTGATCATAAAAATGAGAACCACAACAATCAGCAAAGAGGCAGAACACAAGAACTGAGAGATCTCAAAAAGATTATTTGCACATAAATTTCAAAGAAGTCACAGCCAAGAACATAAAAGACTCAGCAGACTCAAGACAGCACGAGGGAGGGAGCAGAGCTCTCAACTCACCTTTGCAGTTCCAAAGAACTGAAACCCTAGCCACACTTACAGAAAAGAAAGAAAGAAAAATCACACAATTGGGACCTCCAGCACCCAAAAATGACAGAAAGGATATAAAATGCAGGAAGGCCTTCTCAAAACCGTCATAGTGACAACGATAAATTAGCCATCTCCTGTACATTTCTTTTCGCTATTGTCATGTTATATGTATATACTCTTACACGGCATTGCAAAATCTCAAGAGCTCTCCCTGCGCCTTTCTCCTCGTCGATATCAGTTTGTTGAAGTTTATATATATTTCCCAGGAAAAATTGGAAGCACCCAAGAGGAGGATCAATTGAAAAACCATAAAAATCATAGATAGTTACCTAATGCTAATAAAGACTACTGGAATTGACAGATGACAGCGGAAATAAAAATTCAATCTTTTTTAAGCTTCATTCTAGGTCCTTGATGGAACCGGCGATGTCTATCCCATTAGAAAATCCTGTGCCATTTGGGGATGTCGATGGGCTAACCTCTTCATTTCCATAAGTCCTGGCTCTGTTAGGCCTGGACCTAATATTGGTCCCAACTGGAAAGGGCTCCTGCAAAATGAAGGAAAATAAATAAAGGAAATAGGCTACATTAACCTGTGATATATTGAAATGATACTAAGCAAGTTATAAAACCCACTAAACACGTTTTTCAATTTTTTTCATTTCTATTGGCACTAAGTGAAAGATAATGTCAGGTATGACATAGGAGCCTAATAAATGTCCAAGGAACGAAAAGTTCAGTAAATTATCGGAATAAGACACTCTTAACAAGATATGAAAATAGATAGGAGTAATACGGGTTTGTGGGTGTAAATTATGTAGGTAACACCAATTGAAAATGCAAGAATCACAATATCATTCCAGTAATCCCATTAGGTTACTCTGATGTTCATATCAATTTGTTACATGAACATACCAACATTCAATCAAGAGTCAAAACATCCAAATAGATAATTCCTTTAGGACACTACCAATGGTGATAACAAGGTACTAAATAGAAGGCACTACTTTAGCAATGCATGACCAAAAATCTTAGTAGGAGATAACAAATGAAATATGCCATAGGCAACCACGCTAATACCTGATCCCCTGCATTTGGACCATCTGAGCGGAAAAGGATAGGACGACAGCGCTTATCCTCATTCATCAAGCTTGAGTTCTGAAAATGAGCAATGAGTGCAGGTTTCCCTTGAATTCTAGCATAAGCAAGTGATGCAACCTTTTCACTATTGAACTTCTCCCATTTTTTACCATTAAATGCCTGCAAAACATTAACTTGCTCCAGTCAGCATTCTTCTTCATATTGGACAACAGTATTGTGTTTTACTGTTTTATTAAAACCTAGAAGCTAAGTAGACACTACACATGGATAACTGTTACAAAAATAGATTTCTACTCTGAAATATAAGATAACACTAGAACACATTTGAAAATATAATTGTATTCCTTGCAATCATAGAATGGAACCTGAAAGAATGGGACAATCTGCCGAGGATCAATCATATTGATGAAAGCATAACCCACATTGCACTTGTTCTGGAAGGGGGAAAATGAAATAAGCATTAACGCATGTAGAATTTGGTCACAACGGTTTTGTTTGGCAATTAGATTTACCTTAAAATCGATAGGCAAATAAATAAAATCATAAGTTCCCTTGTGATGCTCATCAATGGCAGCCAGGAGCATTTTAGAAGTGTATCTGTCCATCCAATTCAATCCGTGTTAAATTAAGAAGAAAAAATATTGCCAAAAAAATGTAAGGTTTGTAGGCTGTATCTACATACTTGTTTGGGATGTTCTTAATCATCAAAGTAGTTCGGGAGTCTTCACCACGAATAATACGCTCAACATCAAGTTCATATTGTTTCTTATTGTCTGCCTGATTTGCACTTGAATCACTTCTCCTGTTCCTAATCCGATCACTAGGAACATCAAAAGTAGGCATCGGAATCATATGGTTTCTCCCTTGGAAAATATGGCACCTTTGTTGAGGTGAAGGAATTCCAACATGATCAACACAGTTTCCTCCAGAGTGAGGGAAGATGTTATGAGCTGCTAGTTCAAGTGGGTGCATAGGTGAGCTTCCAGAAAATCCCATGCTTCCAAGAGAACCAGGATGAAAAGTTGATGCATCAGGGGAATCTCCAACATAAGGTTGTCTTCGCTCCCAAAGAGAAGGATTTACAGCAGGAGCTGAACCAACGTGATGAGTATGCAAGGGTAGAATAGTATTCAGCATATGAGATGGTGTTCTCGGAATCCCATGCAATGGTGGTGGAAGATGAGATGGAACGCTGTTCATAAATGATGGTGAAGTACCCCATATCATTGGACCAGCAGAGTGGGGAGGATATGCTTTGCTATTATTCAAAAAGTACTGGTTTCCATGGACAGGGCAGCTGCCATTTCCAGGAGCTCCAAATGCTGTAAAAATAAAATATGCTTTTAGTTACAGAAAGCAATGGAACAAAAACTTAACAGAATACCATAAATACACACACACACACACACATATGTGTGAATTTTGAGGCCTAAATCTTAGCTTAAACTACCCCTCTGACCATCCAAACTCGGACTAAATTTGCGAAATTAATTAAGATATCCAACAGCTCAAAACAACACCACATTTGGAAGCATCAAATAGTCATGTAATGCAGAGTTCTGAATAGCAAGTGAACTAATATGATGTCAAAAGATATGTAACTTAGATCCAATCCACTGGATCAGGAACAAGATCTCAAATATGCATACTAACATTCAAAGAACCTGGTACTTTCCAGGTAAGAATCTGATCCTATTTATCAGTAGGTCTGCAGTTTAGATGAAGATAACCCTAAGAAGCAAGTGACCTTTGAATGCAACCTATTCTTTTAGACCCTAGCTGAAAATGTGGATTCTGAGTTTGATGGCCTAACATGCCCATCACTAATACAATTAGCACAAATCATCTGGCATTGCATTTCTACTATACATATAATGCAACTTCCACAAGAAGCATGAACCAATTACCGAATGTAGAAAGCTGGAAAACCTACTAAACAAAACAACATAATGATGTCAATAGACTAATACTAAAGTCTATGTGAGCTTTCCGCGAACTCACCACCTTCAAACGAGTGACTATTAAGGCTTCCAGAGCCCACTCTTTGAATATATCTATGATCAATTCCTTCACCCGGTCTGGAGTTGATATTGATCGACATCGCTGGCATCGCACTTGAGGAGTTGTAAGGGCTGCCATTAGACAGCCCCTCATGATATTCAGGGAGTGAATGAGGGTGCATATTCGGCAAACCTTGAAATCCAAATTTCACTTGTCTAAGAGAATGACTAATTTCACCATTCACAGAAGGGTTAATGTGATTGCCAACTGAAGCAACCCTGACTGGAGAAGAAATATTCTGAGGTACACTTGAACATATGCCATGGACTGCAGAATCCAACAATGGGCTAATCGATCCTCTAGCTGCCGAATGTAGGTCTTTGACAGTTTGAGAATCAAAACCAGATGTAATTGATCCAAGAGGAACCGACCCTGGGGATATATATGGTCGTATCAGCATACATGGTGAAAACACTATTTAGTAGAGAAAATTCCAATAATATAAGCCATAAGAAAGATATGTGTAAGTATACAATAAGCTAAACATCATACCGTAACGTCCTGGTGGTGAGCTGCACGGAGAGCTGTCCTGCATGCATCCAATGGATTCTTCCAGTTCCAACTCTGGCGAGAGCTGCTGCATCAAGCTACTGATGCAAGAAAATAAAACCAGTGAGGAAAATCATAATGTGAAGACAGTTTCAAAAACTAGTTTATGAAACACTACTTTAAGAAGATAATTCAAGAAATAAAAATTGCAATGAAGTCACTTCCCTTACAAAATAATAATAAGTAATCAATGATAGTTTCTGTGAAGAAACATTAGTTTTTTTTAGAAGTAAAAACTACAAAAAAGGATGAGTAAAATTTGGATTGCATTGTGCCAGTTATTTTCTTGTGTATATGGTGGTGGTGGTTGGGTACATAGGGAGTTGAAAACATCAAATGAACTGACAGGGGTTCACAACAAGACAACCAAAGAATCACTTCAACCTCTGCAAAAAATCATTTCAACAACTAAAACTAATCCATATTTGACAGAGATACAAGAAAGTGCAACTTCAACTTTCAATGAGGAATGACCCAAACTTACGATATCTAATACCTACACAAAAACTGGATTTTTCATATCTACTATATAAACTGGAAGTTCTGGTAAGGGTATTGGAAGCAACCTCTCGCTTGGGATATCAAATGTGCTTTTTGACTATCTCGTATAGTACAAGCTCAACTCTTTCAAGGAAAAGATTTGACTAAATAAACTTTCTAGATTGGAAATATTACTTCAGTTTTCTGCTGAAGTTTAAAACCGCCTTTCAAGTCAACTGATACTACCTCTTTCTGTAGGCCTACCATCTTACAAATTTCAAGCTTTTGAGACAATCATGCTTAAGACAAGACCAATCACCCTGCTAAAGCTTCGGAGAGTATCATTCTTTATATAGTTAAAACTATTATCATTCTTCAGTCTTTAAGAGCGTTACTTTTCTCCAATTAAAAATAGCTGACTTTGGCAGGTGGCAAAGAGTTGGTCAGCTATGTTGTATCACTTTATATTGAGAAGTGGCAGAAGTACAAGGGTAGCGGAGAAGGCAAAAGAGAAAAGGAAAAAAGGCAGCTCAGTGCACCGGTGAAGGGAAGTACCACAAGATTGATACAAAGGGAAAGCAATAGGGTACTAACATAAGGATTCAGACAAAGTAAGAAGGGCTCTGTGTATGTACAACTGCGTAGGTTGTTGGGTTACGTGAGTCTACAATTGTGTTTGGAACAGGGAGAGGGTGTTGGATGATGGATTATTTGAAGGGGTAAAAGGGAATAAAATGCACTTCCTATATCAGCATTCAGGAAGTTCAGCCTCTCTAGGGGCAGTCAACAAATAACATAAAAGGATTTACAAGTTAAAAGCAAGGACTCCCGTGAAATTTGATAAACTTGTCAATAACTTATAGATATGAGCTCCTTCAAAGATCATTAATATGATAACATCAACACCATTTAGCTCGTCAAATTAAGATGCTTTACTGTCAAATTACTCTAGTATTTCTGTAACTGTTTATACCAATTTCTTAGACGCCTTACTGAGTGATCATACTGAAAATTGATTAATGAATACTTTTCTGTACTTCGCTTAACAGGTTTCCAGTTCTTCTTTTCTTATAATTTTTACAATTTCGACATAAGCTTTTACAGAATAATTTCTGAATACTCACTGTTGATCTAAAGACTGATGAAAATTCTTTAGCTGGCAACTAAAAGCAAAATCATCAGGCTCAAACATGGGCTCACGATGCGCATGCCGGTGCCTAATCATTTCTAAAAACCAGATGAATTTCTTAAGCAAGAGCTAAAGGAAAATGACCAATCATACCATATCAACAATTGCTAAGTTTAGATCAGCTTCTTGCAGTTAAAAATCGTGTTGATTAGATCCTGCTGGAACCAATGATCAAGATGTATACCTACTGAACAATGATCAGCTGTTCAGCTTGTGCCTACGCCAGTAGCATTAGACAGACACCGCAGACATAATGGACAACTATAGCAGACTACATTATCATAGCACCCACGTCCAAATGACTTCTGAAAACTATCAAGCACGATATTTTGACATCAAAAGGTAATCCACAAAAGGTTCACAAAAGTTGATAAAAATCATATAGTTTCAAGTCATTTATTGAGCTTAACGTTGACACAGGAGCATGTGCAAGAAAGAAAATAATAAGTGTGATTATATAGATAATACCATCGTCTCACACCACCAGGTCGGCTAGGCTCGAGCTTAATTTTTTTTCCAGCAATATCACTCCTGTTTAAAGCTCGAAGAGCAGCATCTGCATCTCTAAGATCATAAAATTCTATGAATTTATGATGACGTTTGTGTGGGGTTTCACGAATCTGTAAAAAGAAAATATATGAGTGGTAAATCAGCAAATATAAAATGTGCAGGGAGTACCATGGAAGTTTCACTCAGATGGTAAAGTAATCTTGCCTCTTTGATATCTCCATATACACCAAATATCTGACGAAGATCATCATTGGAAACAGAAGAATCAAGATTGAATACGACAAGTGTTCCCTGGTTAATATCTTTCTCTGAAGGATTATCCTAATTAAAAGGTGATAAATGTGAGGACAACATTCTTAAGTCATAGGCGTGCATGTGATAACTAAAAACTCAGTAGATGATCATATAAATGGCAAGAAAAGCACATTTTTTGCATGCATAAGAAGGGAGTTTATTAGTGTTTTATGTTATGATCAGAAAGAAAGAAAAATAAAAGGAGATATCAGTAGCGAAAAAGGACACATGGTAATTATTTCTGTCTGTATGTAATCAGCATCTTCATGCTATGGAGATTTTTAATGGGTTATATATTCTGGTAAAAGTAAAACATTAAACGCATAAATTCAACAGACAAGTTTCATTATACTGGAGAGCCTATGGCCATAAAACCCCAAGTCTGACAAGAAAAGCATGTCAGGATTCTCTGAAGATAATGTTGCAAGTCTAAATGTCTCAACAAAACTAGTATAGCTTTGATATTTCCTTCGATCGGACGCTAGTGCAATATACCTCCCATTATGTATTTTTTTAATTAAGAAAACTTATGCCATAATGTGACATGTACAGTAAATAAAGCTTTTAAAATCTTTTACCCTTAAGAAAATATATTTATCTGCATATTCTTCAAAATTATCCTTCCTGTATATGCAACCTGGAACTTGGTGGAAAATTAAAAAATATATGCAGCACATCTAATTACATAAAATATAATAACTCAGAAGAGAAATCATGGAATATTCAATTCTCTTCTCCACTTTTCAATGTTTTACATGTGCGACTAATCATCTGAATGAAATGAAAGAATAACTGTGGTAAATGGTCACCACCTGTTTGTGTGCATCATTAGGCAGTAGCCAAACACAATATCCGTGTGCATGACTTGCCCATTCCCAGGTATCTTACACGGATAGAGGTGCGTGTACTGACATGGACATGGGTGCGGACATAAGACACGGCAAATTTGTAAAATTTAGGATACAGGGACATGGCTATATACATACATATTAAAATTAATAATCTATATGAGATCGATATTGTTTTTTCATTCACATGTTATGAGACTATAATCCCTATACAATTTTTACTTTCTTTTATCGTGTAGATTATAAATTGAAAAACCCCTCGTTTTTTAACTAGATACCTAAATGACGCTTTAAAATCATACTAATGAACTAGGTATGTGCTAAAACAAACCCGTCCCGAGTCCAGCAAGTTGCAGAAATTTGAGGTGAAGTGCACGGTATACATCCAAGAAGTGTATCACGAATTTTTTAAAACTAAAACATGTGTTATATAATTGAGTACACGTCCGAATAAAGCTATGTATATATTCAAGCAGTGTCCAAGGAGTTTCGGACACAGACACATGCACGTGCAGGGACAGAAAGTGTCGGACACGGATACAGGAGCCTAGATGAAGTGTCCGGATAATCTAAGTTTAGGGTATAAGTAATGGGAAAATCGGATTTTTTACTTTGAATCACATGTGTCCACCGTGTGTCTGCAGTGAATCCGTGTCCGACACGTCACCCAAAACGAAGTGTGAGTTAATACACAAGTAAATCAAAGAAGAACTGCAGGCCGCAAGCAACACAATACAAGCTAAACAAGTTAAATCGAACAGACAATATTTCTTCTCGGGAAGTTTCTACATCTATGGGTTAAC